TCTATACTACAATTCATATTTTTTTCTTTTAATTAAATATATATTATAAGATGAGAGATTTAATATTCAAATTCACACTTTGTTTAGGTTTCCTGTTTTGTTAATCAGTAGCCTTCTTGTTTTCAAAGTAAGTTATAGCATTATTTGTTTGAATATTTTATTATCTATTATCTGTGTACAAAATTATTTCTCTAGGTATCTAGAGAATATATTTTCATGACGTACAATATAGCATTATTATATGAAAGTTAACCTGAATCTGAACTCTGAGGATTAATGCTGCATTTTGATCAAAATACGTAACATCCTGGGGAAAATATGGTCATCTTCATCATTTGCAATACAGGTAAGCCTATCATTATACATTGGTATATCTAGGGATAATTGGATGTGATGTAATAACGTGCAATGCTCTAGCTAGGGAAATAATGTGAAATGAGGAGATATTTATGTATGCGAGTGTACTGTAATTCTTTTGCTCAGAAACTTTTAGTGGGAGTGAAAACTTGTTCTGAAGGTTTGTGTCTCCCAGTCCCAAACACTTTAGATAGTAGATACACTGCTACATCATTATTTTTCTTCTACAATTTCATCACTATTGTACGATAGATGACGCAACACCATCTGCTGATTGTCATTAAAAACGATCTGTTGCGCGTGTCGTCACGTTGTGCTCTTCATAGAATTTGCGTCGGCCAACGACCATCGTGCAAATTGGGTACCCGACTTTACATCATCGGTATTATAAAGTATTCTCAACACCATCTTCATTCATCATCATTACCACCATCATTATCCTCATCTACCCACGTGCCAATTCAGGTGTCTTGCTTATGGTATTGAAAGTGGAAACCTTCTTGGCATGTTCACAGGGTTTGTTTCCATGCTACGAACTCTCATCTTGGGGCTGTGCACAGTATGCCAGTGAGTTGTGGTTACATCTATCATCAGACCACACACAATATTTGATTGATAATTGGCAGTCTGACATTGATTGGCACCAATGACATGAGTTGCAATACTGCCTACAATGTACATTTAAGTTTAAGGTTATTGGAAATTCCTTGTAATCAGGCCAATCATTATTATGCAAGTTTAGAAAGCATTATTTTGTTGTTGTTGTGTGCCAGACGTGTCACTAGGGAGTTTACTGTTCCTGGAAGTCCTCTGTTTGACACGAAAGTCAAAACATCAGAAAATATGGTGTTGTGCACCCTCAAAGAGACAGAGAATTTACCAACAATCTACCATGAGCCTACAGACTTTAGTTTGGGAGGTGGGCATAAAAATGGGTTGGAGGGCCAAAGTTGATTAAATACTGAGGGGTGTACTTAACTGTAGCATTAAAAAAAAACCTCCATACACTGATTTTTTTTTTACCACTTCATGCTCAGCTTTAATATTACTTTTTACAGATGATTGGAGCCGTTGCGTCAAAAAAACAAGGGGTTTTCTAGCCAAAAGAAGGTAGACATTAGATTGTCACGGCCCGCAACAAAAATTGTTGTTGGTCCGCATGTGGCCGGGGGCCTCACTTTGCCCACCTGTGGTCTAGTTACTGTTTGATGTGACTATCATCAGGTACTGTACTAATGTCAATGGATGGACACTGACGTTAGAGAATTTTTAAAAAATATATAATGATGTAACATCTGTCAAAAGCTAATTAAGGTAGATTATAATTTATTAATTTAAGACATGACAAATAATAAAAAAATTTTAATATTATAAGAATACAACACTTTTTCAATAAATGAAAGATTCCAAGATAATTTCCTCATCTGATTCCATCACCAATCCAGATGCAGAACCAAATCCAAAAATGAATTTTGTATAATTAACCAGAAAGTTCATCATCCGTAATAGTATTATGCGTGTACAGTAATACATTCGGTAGCATAATTATGCATGCTTGAAAATATTAATAGCTGCCACTACAGGTTGTCACGTTTACCTCATTCTTAGGGAGCATCATCGCTGATGCATTACCAAGCATGTTGAATATTCAGCGAGATACACTATTCAAGGTCTTCCACTAACACTTCACACCAACGCTGTTACCACATCTCGATTATAAATGAACTTGTACACATTTGTTAAAAGAGGCACAATATGTTCCTAATGTTTTTAAGTACAAGTATAGAAAACATCTGAGCAGGTAGTGTAAATTTTCATCCCTGGGGTTTATCTGAACGTTATGTGCAAAAAAAGAAAAAAAAATCACATCTCAACATTAAAATGCTTCCATGTATAATGTATGAAACAGTTTTAGTTCCAAGAATTTACGTTCAGAGTAATCTTGATATAATCACAACAAATATTACCTGGTATAGAATTTCCACATCAATCCATGTATATATTTCATTTTTCTAGATATTATTCTATCAGATATTCATCTGTCAGACATAGTTTTATCAGATTGGATGATTATGTTTCAGATTAAACAAATCATCCAAGTTTTTCATGTCTGATGGAAGCCAGTTTTGAAATGGGAGACTGATGATAGGACACATAATTGGGGGAGGGGGTGCTAGCTGGTAAAACAAGGTGATTTTTAACTACTCATCAAGCATATTTTTTTTTCTTCAAAAATTTCCAGTAGGGGCCTCTGGGGATGCTCATGCATTTCTGGATGAATATGGGGGCATGCATCCCCACAAACCTCTATAGATATGCCACTGGTAGAAGGCAAAATATATCTGACATTATATCCTGGTTTAGGTATCACATCAAATTTGGAATCTACTGGTCATTAAAAGTAGGCCTACTTAAACTCAGTTCATTCTTGATTTTGTTTTCTCATTCAGAAGCCCAAAAGGTTCAAGAATTTTGCTTAAATAAATAATTGTAATAAAATAAATAAAATTATGCAAGAATATAAGTTTTTATAGATACTATACTTGTATAAGTTACAATACAGTACTGTACATTTATTTGTAAATAAACATTTTTATTTACAAGTACAGTACTGTACTCACTATTATGTACAGATAATTCATTAATAAAATTATTGAATTAAATACTCTAATTAAAATAATCAGTTGTTAAAAAATAATAAAAACATCATGTGTTGAGATTAAATCAAGTTAAAATTAACAATATATAATTTATTTATATACCTATATTAAAATATTTATGAAAATAACTTTAAAAACGTAATTGTTATTATCCTTAGAAATAAATTTTCTAACAATATGGTACAATTTTTTAGGTATACAGTATATCCTCAAAATCTAGTACGCCTACACACATGTGGCATTCAACCTTGCTGTCAAAACCTACTTTAAATAAATGACAGAGGTAGACAAAGGAACGTGCATCTCATTACAGAATTAAAATTATGCTGTCCTTGAAGAGAGCATCACACAATACAGTTGTATTCAAGATGCTATACAAATACAGAGTACCACAAATACTAACAATTATGGATTGCTATGCAGAAATGAGAAACGTTCCAACGTTCTCTCTGCTACTTAGTATGCGAATAAACTGGTTCCACTTCAACGATTATTGACAAACCTCAAGCAATAGATTGCAAATGACCATATATGGATAACAATGAATAATTCATGGTGTTGCTATGGTTGTAGTTTTCATGACGTCAACTACTCTGCCTACAGCAGATTTATTGCTGTATTACTTAGTCAATGTATTGGACAGAAAACACTAGCTATTCTTGCCAACAACAGGAAGGCAAAACAACCCCCAAAAAATTAAAACAAAACTAAATCATGAATATCATACAAAACAAAAAACATTGAGAACTGTTAGTATTTTTAATCAAATCTATTTTGTAGATGCAAGAAACAATATTGAACAACTTCTATATAATCAATTTCTTAAATAAATGCATAGTCAGCATGTATCTAGTATAAAAGTGATTTATATTTTTTAATGTTTTAATTTACTATTTTTTATGTACACATAAATTTTTCATCAGTATAAATTTTGCTGCTTTTGCTACTCATTGGCTTGCATATTGATTTTGTTGTTTAATTTTTTTATTCAAATATTTTCCTGGGCTTTGATTTCATTTGTATAGTATTGCCAGCCACCGATCAACATTTTGAATTTGTGTTAAATCATCAGAACAATATCCACAGCGTAAAATGTAATTTCATGTTTATACTAAAATTATCTCAGACAAAATCAATGTATAGTAGATTGTTTTGTTTTTTTTGTTTTTTTTTGTTTGGAGTTCCAAGCTGAAAAAAAATCACTTCAAGGTGATCTGGTTAAAATTAGCTTTCCTAACATCTCTCATTCCATTACTCTGCTGTGTGTGATGTTACCCATCGCAAGCCGACTTTCAGGAGACGTCTGATAAAGAAGGGTTCACTTTCTTCTACCCTCTCGTCCACAGCATAAAGTTGGCCCAAGTCCATCCGAAAGATGTGAAGATGACTTTATGTAATGTCATTGTACCTTGTAAGTTGAAATCGAAAGGTCCTGGCTCCATATTTTCCCAACGAGGCCTAAAATATTTTTAGTCATGGTGGACATAGGCCTTCTATTTCTACATAGGCCTATTCCAAATTCTATAAAAAATGAATAATATAATATTAATGTAATTAGAGCCAAGAATGGAGATATGCCAAATATGTTTTTATTAATGTAATCATTAAACAGTAGTTAGCTGTGACAATTGCCAGATCCTCCATGCAAATAAAATATTTTTAACTGAGAGTGTTCCCCTGGGCCCAGTCTTTCCTGCATACCAATCCATGACAGAAGCCCTGCACCTATACCCCATCTATTGTATGGCCTTGTATGTAAACCAAAAGCGATCTAAACCTTTCTAAATTCTGAAAAGGGATTAACTTGTGATACACTGTTGTTGATAATAAAAACATAATGAGTGACGTCATATGACACTTAGGATAATCAAAACTAGCCTAGCCTACGGTAGTAGTGTAGCCTACTAGTGAGTCTAGTAATACTTGGAAACCAATTCCAGATGTGGTCAATCAAATTATTATTTTAATAAGTAAATGTACTACCTGAATTTGTCACAACATCAGCGGGGGTTGATAATTTAAAATCCCATTGTTTTCTTGCGTCTAAAAAGGTTTCATCGGAGGTACATGACCTAGCTGTCCAGCGATTCACTCGCGATCACGAAACTCGACTCACTGGATTACGTACTTAGAGTCTGCCATTATTTTGTTGGTTTCAATGAATGACGTACTGTTAATAGACATACCCCCTCTGCGTATAATTCCAACACAAGAATTAAAACGCCTTTTGAATACGTTACTGTACGTTCGGATATATTACAGTGGGGTGAAAACAATAGAGGTAACAGCAGACACGTGATGTACTTTAAAATAGAAATGACGATAGAGTCAATTTTTAAACGTTGAGATTGGAAGAGATCGGGAGTTCGGAGAAATAGTTATAGTATAAAGTAGCACTATTTCTTCTTCCTGGTGTTAAAATTTAGAACATTGATTTGTTTAATTATTTTTGGTCCATAATATTCCGATCACCATAAAAAAAAATGCATTTTAAGATGTCGGCCTACTTTAAAAAAAAGTCAATTAAAAATGTTTCATAGCACATCAATTATATATTTTATATATTTATATTCAATTATATTTAATTTATTTACTCAATTCATTCCATGAAATACAAAACAAAATATGAGTGGCGAGTACTAAAGAAGCAAGCTTAATACAAATTAGACCCGTTAAGCAAGCAAAAAAAGACTTTATTAAAGCAATGATATTTTCATGTGAAGTTTCAAGATATTGATAGTGAGGGCATTATTTTTTTATGAGAGGGAAGAGAGTTCCACATTTTCTAAGAGCAGTACGAGCAATAGGTGATGAAAATGATTAGATTGCCTGGTAGAGTGCCTGTGGATTTGGCTGTTTTAAAACAGATGATCAAAACACTTTTTCATATATATAGAAGAACACATTTATAAGAACACTGAGACTGAAATCGCTTAAAAATTAAGAACAAAATAAAAACAAATTGAAGCTAAGTTATAATGTCGAGTGAGTTTTTTTTTTAATGAAATAAAAAACAGCAAATTTTATACCTTACTTACTGTAGCTTTGACTATGTAATATCCTTTTTTAATGAAGTACAGTAATTATACTGTTGTAGGCCTACAATAATAATTAATTTTGAAAAGTATGTAAAAATAATAACTAAATAAGAACATTTTGTGCCCGAAATCGGCAAAAAAAAATTTCTGGTTCTTATAAAAAAAAAAGAAAAATGTAAGTTTATTACAACCAGAAACGGATCGAACGAAAATCGTTTTCTCTTATTTACAGAAATTTTACTGCAAAATATAAAAAATAATATCAAAGTAATAAAGGAATGAATTACAAGGGGTCAGACAGGGGTTCCGATAAGGGGCAGACTGTAGCCTCGGTCAGGTTCCCAGAATAAAAATCCCTGGTAGAGTTCACGGGGAGAGTGTGCGTGCCTTTTTTCTTAGTGCAGTGCCGGTGTCTGAAATCTTGCGGCGGCGATGGCAAGTGAGAGGAAAGGTACAATTTCGGGGTGGGGGTTAATGTCTCCGACGATTAAAATGTTTCGAAAGTGGTCCAGGGGGCGTAGAACCCTGAAAAAATATGACAATTTAGGGGTTTCAGAGGCTTATTTAATCGATTTTTACTACAACGTAGAAAATATACACAAGTTGGTTTTTTTTCTTCCAGATAATTGCGTTTTTCTTCTTTTGTGGGGGGTGGGGGGAAACTGGAGGGAAAGAAAATTTTCTGGGGAATTATTATTTTTGATCCGACGACCCGGGGTATTGGAGGTCCAAGCCTGTCCAACGAGGGTTGAGGGAAAATTCCTCTTTCCCCCATCCCCTCCCCACCTGGCGCCTACACATCTAGATGTGTATAAGAGACAGGAGTGTGCGTGCCTTTTTTCTTAGTGCAGTGCCGGTGTCTGAAATCTTGCGGCGGCGATGGCAAGTGAGAGGAAAGGTACAATTTCGGGGTGGGGGTTAATGTCTCCGACGATTAAAATGTTTCGAAAGTGGTCCAGGGGACGTAGAACCCTGAAAAAATATGACAATTTAGGGGTTTCAGAGGCTTGTTTAATCGATTTTTACTTCAATGTAGAAAATATACACAAGTTGGTTTTTTTTCTTCCAGATAATTGCGTTTTTCTTCTTTTGTGGGGGGTGGGGGGAAACTGGAGGGAAAGAAAATTTTTCTGGGGAATTATTATTTTTGATCCGACGACCCGTGGTATTGGAGGTCCAAGCCTGTCCAACGAGGGTTGAGGGAAAATTCCTCTTTCCCCCATCCCCTCCCCACCTGGCGCCACCATTGTGCTGTCCCATAATTGACATTTATTTTCTCAATATTTCCTTTTAATAGGCTATTTTAATTGGGCCTATACTTAATTAATGCTTTATAATATCACTTAGGGTACCGGTACCCCATAACGATAACATTCATGTTGTTCCCTATTATTTGATCCTATATTCAGGAATGTAACATATTGATTGGCTGGCTATCAGTCGACATTAATTCTACTCCTGATTTTAATTCCTACACATTTGGAGTCCTTATTAGATTGGCTTTACACTCCAGAACCAGAACAATTGACCGGTGAAATTAGGCCAGACATATTTTCCACACACACATTGGGGTACTGATAATGACCCCCATCAAATCTTCTGTAAGTGCACCCTCCAATTTGAGACTCCTCTAATTCCGATACCTCCCTAGGCCTAATTCGAGACCACTTTTTCTATAACAATCTTTTAACACACAGCTAACCCCTCTAATTGGAGACCGAACCCGGAGACAGTGACCCTAATTTTCAGGCCTCAAAGGTGCACCTTTATTGGTCTCCAATAATTGTAGCGTTAACTGTATACTATGGTACCTCAATGGTCAAACAACTGGGGCGGATCAGGTCGTGACATGGGAGAAGATGGAGAGGGTGCAATGGTTAAGTTGAGGATTAAACGATGGTTTTAGCTGACAAAATAAAGGGAGAATGCAATGATTTTTAACTATTTTAGCGTAAATTTCTATTTCGTGGCATTTCCAGGAGGTGGCCCCTATAGAGGTTGAAAAAAAGTAGTCGTTACTGGCTGGGCATGAATGCTATAGTTTCGCTGTTCAGACAACGAAACACTCTTGATATCGGTAGGCCTATATGATACTAAATGGAAACATGGACAGAGAATAGGGGCGGATTTAGAAGGTGCGGGCCGGTCGGCCGCCCTTTCCCATTTTAGGAAAGTTAAAAAAAAAAAAAAAAAAAAAAGAAAGAAAGAAAGAAAGAAAGAAAGAAAGAAAGAAAGAAAAAGGAATAGGTGATCGCCCAAAATGCTTTAGAGGTTATTTTCGAGCTTATACAAAACAAAAATTTCGCGGGAGCATGCCCTTCTTGACTACATAGGGTGATGTTTTCTCGATAAGCCTCACTGTCCTGTCAGATGAAGAAGGCTAAGGTGGGTGGACACTCCATTTGCGCAAGACCATCGCTGGGTCTCCTTTATTTCGACTTCCTGAACCTGCCACAGTTTGAGTATCATTTCCGGGATACTATAAGGGTAATTTTTATCCATTGAGGGAAAGGTGAAGGTTTCGTCAGGAAATACCGATATCAAGGATACCCCTCATGATAAATAATTCATTGAGATCGTGGAAGCAATCTCGACTTCGGCTTTATTCGGAAATCAGTGGTACGGTAGGGTAGGGGCCTATATTGTTAAATTTTCTTTTTATGGAGATATGAAGAAAACTATATTCAAATTTTAAGTCTGAGAGTGCAATTTCCGGCCATACAGGTGCCATAATCACAAATTTCTTAACTCAGCCCCAACCATGGCGGAGCTGAGGTGGACATCCTCCATCTGTGAAAGTTCCTCCATCTGTGAAAGTTCCTCCCTCCCGGGCCCCTTTGAATTCCTAGAATCGTCACTAGAAATTACAACAAATTATGAAGTCATAAGGAACACAACTATATAGTTTTCAGATAGTACATACTGGGGAGATAGAATGCTTTAGGCCTTTATTTTAAAGACGTTATGCTTCGGGAAAACAATGAGTTTTAACATTTGCGGTTAACATGTTATGACATTTGAGGGTAAAATGGAAATTTTTACATTTGTAGGTGAAATGTTACTACATTTGTAGTTAAGCAGATTTTTACATTTGTGGGCAATTGTTTTTACATTTGTGGTTATTTTTACATTTGTGGTTGACATGTAATGACATTTGCGGTTATTTTGACATTTGCGGGTAGAATGCAGGCCCGTAACTAGGATTTTTTGGGGGGTTCAAATTTGGAAAAAGTGGACCCTTTTGAAGATGTTTACGACCAACCAATTGCGCTGACCACATACTGGTACGGTAAATAAGAGTTCCATCTTGAAACTTATATTAAAAAAGTTGCTACTGTCTATAAAGATGATTTGAACAGGATTGTTTTTTTTTTTAAAGTTTAAGCAATCTTCTTTCGAGATTTTTTTTGCCATCCAAGCGGAGCCAGCTAGCAAACGGCGGGGTTCGTCCGAACCCCCGACCCCCCCCCCCCGGTTACGGGCCTGGAATGTTTTGACATATGTGGTTATTTTTACATTTGTGGTAATTTTTTACATTTGTGAGCTCTACAGGGTACCGGACTCCTCGTTGGGGAATTTCTAGCGCTGGCATTGTTTTTAACTAACGTACTTAAGTACGGTACATGAGTGTGTGCTCTGAAATATCTAGTAGCAGGAGAACCTGGGGTGCAGTTTTTTTATATCCCTCACCAGGCTTTCTCATGCTACAGCATTCCCTCATTTTTAGAAAACAAGTAGGCCTATGTAGTTGGTGTTGAAAAGCCAAGGATAATAAGCCTACTAGGAAGATTTGTAGGCCTATAAAAGTGAATGAATAGGACTGACAATTAAAAAGAAATTCAAGTGCACAATAAAGTTGGTCCGGCTGCTGGTCTCGAGAGATTACCGAGGCGGATTTAAAGTGGTGGTGGCAGGGGGGTCGTCCAAGTCCCCTGCAAAATTTCTCAAACTTTAAACAAATAATGGAGAAAAAAACTAATGTAAGTCTGACAGAGCGCCATTTCCGCCCATCTCGAGGTGCCATATACATTTGCTTACCTCAGCCCCAACCGGTGGGCCAAGGTGGCATTTACCCACTATATGTGAAAGTCCTTCCCAGGAACTTCTCTATTTCGAAC